TTTCGTGGGCTCCGGCGGAGCAAGGGAGTACCCGAGACCTCGCAGCTCCCTGGGATGCCACGAAGTGCGCAACCGTCGACATTTTCGTGGGCTTCTGGGAAGCACGGCGGAGTAGGGGAGTACCCGAGGCCTTGCGGCTCCCTGGGATGCTGCGAACTGCGCAACCGTTGCCTCTTTCGTGGGCTCCTGAGTGGTCCAGCGGAGGCGGAGTACCCGAGGCCTCGCGGCTCCCTGGGATGCTGCGAACTGCGCAACGCGCACCAGACGAGACCTCGCTGCTCCCTGGGTGGCTGCGAAGTGCGCAACCGTCGCCACTTTCATGGACTCCTGGGAGGTCCAGCGGAGTCGGGGGCCACGTGCACCCAGACGAGACCTCGCAGCCCCCTGGGTGTCTTGGAACTGCGCAATGGTCGCCACTTGCGTGGGCTCCTGGGAGGTCCAGCGGAGTCGGGGGCCACGTGCAGCAGACGAGACCTCGCTGCTCCCTGGGTGGCTGCGAAGTGCGCAACCGTCGCCACTGTCGTGGGCTCCTGTGGGGTACGGCGGAGATGACAGCAGTCCAGATCGTGCATATCTGGCGATGGGTTCTTGTGTATGGAGCGTTCATAGAGGTATTCGCGTCGCGTGGAGAAGGGGTTTAGCACGTCTCGAGGAAATTTCTGTCTGCGGACGCGTACCATAGCTGACCTGGCACTCCGCATAAGACCCCATCGGGTCATGCGCAGGCGGAACATGAAACTTTTGGGACCTGTGCGACCTGGGGGAGAGAGGAGGAGCGGACCCCTACCATTCAAACTGATAGTAAAAATGCACGATGGAGATGCACAGGGCCTTCGAAGGCCTTGCCGACACTTTTCGAGCGGGGCGCGGCCAACGAACGTAGCCCAGGAGGGGCCGAAGGGAAAGGCTGTGGAAAATCGCTCATCCTTACTATCGGTGTTGACTGTCCCCGCCCCCAGGGTGTGGGGCCCACGAGGGTGATGGGGGGTGCGGGTGTCCGGGGCAGAGGACCGGGAGAGGTCGACTATACCCGTCGCTGTGGGCGGTGCGAGTGTGGAGCGGCAAGCCGCCGCGGACAGAAGTCCCGAAGAAGAGCGGGATGACCATGAGAAGCATCATGCTGGAGAAGCAGAAGATCGGCACGAAGGCCGTGAAGATCAGCCCGAAAAGGCGTTCCAATGTGAGCGTGTCGGATGTGCGCTGGTGTGTTGATGCGCAAGCTGGGCCACCCGATGGGACAGACGAACTTACAATCGTGAGTGAACATGACGATCCATGTTTCTCCTTCAGCGCTCGTCACGCTGCCCACCACAGTGCCGCAGAGACCAGGTTCGCAGTTTGGCTCGTGACAGTGACGGCGGGGCCAACCTGTATGGAAGGTGAGGTGGACTGCGGGTCAATGGATGTGACGTATCGCGTCAAGACGGGGCAACGTCATACGAATCGCTGGGACGAAGGCACGAGTGGGGCCCAAGCAGCAAGCTGGAGTGTGACGTAACGGATATAGCTGTCAGCATGACCGTCGTGTGACAGGGCTGAATCCGAGCCTGTGCCAGCAACGCCATCTTGGATGTGGAGGCCAAGGCGGTAGAAGCCCTCGACGGGCCCGAGCCCGAAAACGCGACGCCAAGGGGGCTTGATGAGTGGACGGGGCCACGGGCGGCTACGGCCGAGGAGGCCGCTCCGCTCTCTGGCCTGGTGCGCTCGTCGCCCTCCGCGGCACTGGCAGTGACGGCGCACCTGGCGCGATCGTGGTTCGTCGGCGGCGAGGCGGAGGCAGTCCGCTCCAACGCGGGGCTGCACGGGGCAACCGATCGGCGAACTGTCCGGCGTGCAAGAGAGAGAGAGAGAGAGAGAGAGAGCGAGGCGAAGACGAGGGCGGCCGCGCCAAGGGAGGAGGGGGAGGGGGACGACCCTGGAAGACGTGCCGCTGGCCCCGGATGCAACGATGGGCAGCGTCCCCGCGGGACGTGCCGCTGCGCCCCAGGGCTGCTGGGAGAGCGGCGCGTCCTCGCCGCCATCGGCGACGTCCCTGGGGGGACGTACCGCTGGGCTCTGAGGCACGCTCGCAGGCAGCAGCGGCCGGGAAAGCCGTGCCGAGAGGCCCAAGCCACGTGCCTGGGGCGCGGGTTGGTACCAAGGTGATCGTGGCGTGGATCGCGGGGGTCAGCACGAACTTTGTGGAGTTGCGCACGGAGATCTTGCCCACGGACACGGAGAACGTGAGGGTGCACACGCGGAGCTTGGGGATCACCACGTGGATCGCATGGGTTGACGCGAAGATCGTGAAGTTGCGCGCGAAGAACTTGCTCACGGACACAAATAATGCGAGGTTGCGCTCGCAGAACTTGCCGAGGGTCCTGAAGACCGTGAGGATCCGCATGCAAACGTTGATGATGCTCACGTCGATCGCGGGGGTCGGCCCAAATGTCGAGAAATTGGGCACGCAAACTTTCCGACGGACACGAATACCGTGGCGATGCGTACGCAGAACTTGCCGATGGACCCGACGATCGTAGGGAAGTTCGTGCAGAGCGAGTTGGTGAACGGCGCGCAGATGGTGAGGCTGCGCGCGCAGATCGCGCGCCCCGAGCTCGACGATGTAGGGGGTGCGGTGCGCACGCGGAAGATCAGCGGCAAGACAAGACAAGCCACATGTGATCCACTTATTGTGTCTGACTTCAACAGCAATATATATGTATATATATATATATATATCTATACACATAAACGGAGAGTTGAAGTACAACAGCTTCTGGATCAGTGTTCGCTGCGCAGGACGAGGGTTGGGAAAGTCCTGGGGATCTTGAAGACGCCCCCTATTTTTTTCACGAAAGCGGTGAAGGTCAGCTCGCAGAGAATGGAGATGTGCACGGACATCGTGAATATCGTTGCAAGGGTCGGGAGGTAAGTCAGCACGTGTCCCGTGCACGTGACGTACATCCCGAGTAGCTGGTAGTCACCTCCAGGGGGCCTCGGAAGGGGACAACGAGGGAGGTGAACCAGAGGAATGCGGATGGGTCCGGCGATGAGGCCCGGGGCGCCCAGCCGGATCGTGCAGAAGGCGCCCGGCACCGACGTGCTGAAAGGCTCGCCAGAGGCAGAAGCGGCGTGGCGGTGGCGTCCACACATTTTTGCCTTGGCGGCGAGGCAGAGGCAGTCCGCACCAGCGTGGGGCTAATCGGGGCAACCGATCGGCAAATTGTCCGGCGTGCAGGAGGGAGAGACGAAGTCGAGGGCGGCCGCGCGAGGGAAGGTGGGAGAGGGCGCTCAGACAAGTGGCGTCCACACAGGGTGTCTGGGATGAAGCCTGTGGAGGATGCCCTTGGAGACAACAGCAAGGAAGAGGCAGGGCAGGTGTCGGGGGAGATGGCCCCCCTCGGTCGTCTGGTGCCCCTGTGGCCAGGGGCACCACAGCTTGCGGCCGCACCATTTGTGGTGCCGCCGCCGCGGAAGTGTAGGGCAGGGGGCCGTGGGCTCCTTCGCAGTTCCTCGAGCAGCTCGAGGCCGCGGGTAAGAGCTAGGTCGGGGATGTCCTCCTACAGGCGGACTTGGAACGACAAAAAAAACGTATCCCCCAAATATTCAAATAACAATCAAAATTACCCCAGTGCGACCCTACCTAGAAGTTGGAGCCCCTAGGAAAGCAGCATGAGTTGCTATGCTATGCTATGCTATGCCATGCTATGCTGCGCTATGCTATGCTATGCTATGCTATGCTGCGCTATGCTATGATATGCAATGCTATACTATGCTAAGCTATGCTATGTCATACTGCGCTGTGCTATGCTAAGCTATGCTATGCTAAGCTGCGCTATGATATGCTATGCTATGCTATGCTATGCTGCGTTATGCTATGCTATGCTATGCTTAGCTATATTATGCTATGCTATGCTATGCTAATTAATGCAGCGCTATGCTATGCTATGCTAAGCTAACCCTCTAGGCGGAGTCTAGATAGGGAATTACACCCATGCTATGCTGCGCTATGCTATATTATGCTGGGCTATGCTATGATATGCCATGCTGCGCTATACTATGCTACGCTATGCTATGCTATGCTGTGCTCTGCTATGCTAAAGCTCAGCGAAGCTAAGATGAAGGTAAGCTAAGCTAAGATAAACCTGAGCTAAGATGAAGCTAAGTTAATCTAATATGAAATAAGCTAAGCTAAGATGAGATAAGCAACGCTAAGCTAAAGGGACGTAACTGGGGGAACCGCGGGGCGGATACCGGGGGAACCGCCCGGGGCGCTTTCCACTGCGCGGCCCCTTTAAACCCACAGAGTAAGAACCCTTCCAGGCAGAGCCTAGGTAGGGAAATAGTCGAACAATCGTCCCCAGACTATTTTTTTAACTGCTTTTTTGAATGTTCGTCCTGTTGAGGGACATGCCCGACTTGAGGCTAGAGGGAGAGAGAGAAGGGGAGAAAAAGGGAGAAATATATATATATACATATATAGAGAGAGAGAGAGAGAGAGAGAGAGAGAAAGCGAGAGACAGGGGGGGTGGGAGGGGGGTGGGATGAAAACGCGGGGGAGGCAGGGGATGCACGAGACCATGATGGAGAGGGGGGGGGGGGGACTGGAGAAAGGTGGGCAGGACGACGGAGACTTGGGGGGGGGGGGGGGGGGAGATCCCCACCTCCCCCCCTCCCCCTCCTTCCCCCGCTCCTCCCCCTCCTTGCCCTATCCTCCACCTCTTCCTCCCTTCCTCCTCGCCGGCCTCCATGTCTTCTACGCTCTACGAAGAGGAGCCTCGCCTGACATTACGCCTCTGCCCTTCCTCCGCTCTGCCGTTCGTGCGCTTCTGGCTTGCGCAAGCATTGAGCGACGGCCCCTTCGCGTCTTCTCCCATCGCGTCCCCGTCCTCTGGGCTGTGATGCTCATTAAGGCTGCACCCCCCTGGCTGATTGCCTCTGGAGGGGCACTTCCGCGGAGGGCCGATCCGCTCCGATCCTCGTCCTCCTCGCGCGGTTCGCTGCGCCTCTCGGCCTTCGGGGGTCGCACCCCGAGACGAAGCGACGCGGAGCCCACCATCCCCTCGTCCAGAGTCTCAGGCGTGCCGAGCGGGGAGACGGGGGTCCTCCCCCTGCCTCCTCCTCCCCCTGCCTCCTCCTCCTCCTCCTCCTCCTCCTTCCAATCACCATCATCATCGTCACCAGCATCATCACCATCATCAGCCCCCATCATCAGCCCCCATCACCATCACCACAATCATCACATGCATCACCATCATCATCAGCATCATCATCATAATCAACATCATCATCATCATCATCATCATCATCATCAACATCATCACCATCACCATCACCACCACCATCAGCATCATCATCGTCATTATTATAAATATCATCATCAGTATTAGTATCATCATCAACATGATCATCGTCATCATCGTCATCACCATCTTCGTCATCATCACCATCATCATCGCCATCACCATCATCATCAGCATGATCGTCATCACGATCATGACCATCATCACCATCATTATCACCATCGTCGTTGTCAGTACCAGAATCACCATCATCATTATCAGCATGGTCATCATCAACACCACCAACACCATCATCACTACCATCACCAATACCAACACAATCACCACCATCCTCATCCCCATTATCTCCATCACCCTCACCAACGTCATCATCATCCTCGCCATTATCATCATCATCATCAGCATGATAATGATCAGTATCATCATCGTTATCATCGTCGTCGTCGTCAATATCAGAGTCATCATCATTCTCAAACTTGTCATTATCAACACCACCATCACCATCATCACTACCATGACTACCGCCACCAAAAACCAACACCATCACCATCATCATCCCCATCCTCATTATCCCTATCACCCTCATCATGGTCATCATCATCGTCATTGTAGTCATCACTATCAACACGATCATCAACATCATCATCATCCTGTACCTATCATCATCGCCATCAACATCACCACCACCATCATCACCATCATCATCATCATCGTCATCATTACCATCATCATCATCATCATCATCATCATCATCAGTATCTCCATCACTGTCACAACCATCATCATCACCACAACCATCACTATGATCACCACAACCATCAACGCCACCACTATCATCATCATCAACACCACCATCATCATCATCATCATCATCATCATCATCATCATCATCATTATCACCGTCATCATCACCACCACCATCATCATCATCATCATCATCATCGTCACCATCATCGTCATCGGCATCGTCATCGTCATTATCATTGTCATCATCATCATCATCAACAACATCATCAACATCATCATCATCATCGTTATCGTCATCGTTATCATCACCACCATCATCATCATCATGATCATCATGATCATCATGATCATCATCATCATCATCATCGTCGTCATCATCATTCTCATCCTCTGGAGGTGACACCAGCCTGGAAGGTGAACAACAGCCATTGATTTTCTCACATGTTTTGGAATGTTTTTTACACGCCTGTATTTTCCTTTTACCTTTCTCATGCTTTTTTTCCAGCTTCGAAATCCCCCCTCCTTCCCCTCCTCGTTCTTCTCCAGGTGGGATTGCGCGTCGATGGGCCACGAAAACTGATGCAGGAAGGCGGCCACAGCGCCTGCGCTTAAAGCCTCGCTCCACTCCTCCGCTCCTCCCTCGAAGCGAAGCCTGCAAGTGGCTCCTGCCAGGTGGGCCCCCAGCTCTTCGCGCCGCCCTGGAGCCCCCTCGGAACCCTCGGGGCCCTGTGCTCGGGGTGCTGCATGTAGGGGGTCTGTCTCTCTGGGCCCACCCGGAGACGCCCCGGGCACCTCGGGCCAGGGCCACCTCTGGCAACGCCCGAAGATCGCGGGCCAGCTTTTTCGTCGTTTTCGCCCTCGTCGTCGTCGTCGTCGTCGTCGTCGTCGTCGTCGTCGTCGTCGTCGTGCGCGCAAGGGCCATCCGAGCCGAGCCAGCAAGCCGACTGCCCTCTTGTTCTCACCCGCTGCCCGCCAGCAGTGCGCTGGCTCGCGGCCCCGGGCCAGGAGAGCACGGCGGAGCGCTCCAAGAGCGGCCTTCCAGAGAAAAAGGCGCGGGGGCAGGATGTGCCCTCAGATCTGACGCTGCAGAGCTAAGTGCAACATTGCAGAGAACATCACGACCAGAGCCCTGGAAACCCCATCTTGCTGCATTCTATATTTTTCATCGGATCGATCCGTGAGGGTCCCGGGGCCCGAAGGCCTGCGAAGATGTCCGGTGCGCAAGGAAAAGGCGACGCCTGGATCTGAGGCTTCGCAGGCGACGAGTGCCCAGGAGGAGGAGGAGGAGGAGGGAGGAGGAGGAGGAGGAGGAGGAGGAGGAGGAGGAGGAGGAGGAGGAGGAGGAGGAGGAGGAAAGATTTCTTCGCGTCCCTGGCGGCGGGCGTCCTGAGCCAGATCGGGCCCTTCAGGGCGGCCGGGAACTGGAGCGACCCGGCCAGGCTCTTGAGCGCGGCACCCGCGGCCGGGGGTCCTTCGCTGGACGTGCCGCCGTGCTGGCGTGAGCAGAAGGAGGGTGGTGGCGGGGAGACTCCGGGTATGGGCGAGGTCGGTTGCAAGAGTGTAGAAAAGAGGATGATGATGAGAAGGAGTAGGAGTAGGAGTAGGAGGAGGAGGAGGAGGAGGAGGAGGAGGAGGAGGAGGAGGAGGAGGAAGAGGCTTAGGGAGGGAGGGTGGAGTGAGGAGGAGGAGGAGGAGGAGGAGGAGGAGGAGGAGGAGGAGCTTGAGGATGAAGATGTGGATGCAGATGAGGATGGGGATGAGATAAGAAAGATGGGATGCGTGGGCGGAGGGAAAGGATGAGGGGGAGGCCGATTAAGAGAAAGGTGTGAGGAGGAGGAAAAGCAGGAGGATGGCGAAGACAAAGGTGAAGAGGAATATTGATCGGATGAGGATGATGATGCTGATGATGCTGATGATGAGGAGCAGAAGGCTGAGCAGGAGAAACGAGAAGAAAATCAATCACCCTGGCGGAGACAGAACTCAATGGCCAGAAACTCCCTGTCAAAATGTGGTCTGGCGATGCAAGACGTCGTCTACCATGTGCGCGAGGGGGTGGTGGTGGGGCGTGTGGGAAGAGCCGGGGATTGCGAACAACTGGGAGACTGGCGCGTGCGAGAGCTTCTGGCAGTGGTGCAGAAGTAGTGAGTGGCTCAGCGGGTGGCGCGTTCGCCTGGGAGAGTCAGGGGCTGCTGTCATGCAGTCTTACGTGGTCGAACAGGACACGCGACGAGGACACAAGACCCTTCCGATGGCCACATCGCCACAGGCATGTAAGAACGCACGGGTCGCGAGGCACAGGACACAAGGCTGGCGTTGAGCTGGCAGGGTCGACCTACTCATCAGGGCCGACTGTAGCAGTGCGGCAGGAAGGAGAAGGGAGTGTGGGGAGGTGGGGGTGAACCTGATGTTGAGACGAAGAAGGGATGTGCATGCTTCCACGCGGCGCGCGCGGCTGAACACCCGATGGAATGACACGCCATCGATGGACACCCGACTGGAAGAACACGCGAACGATTCGTGAACACTGACATGAAATGTACGAAGAACTGCTGGAACAGTGCGGGATCGCCGGAAAAGACCACCGACCTCCATCGGCCACTGTGGGCAGTCGCAAGCGAGGGTCCCACGCCATTCAGCGAAGGCAAATCGTCCCTCCAGGTGGAGGGAATGCCCCGACTCCAATGCACCGCGAAGGGATGATGCCCTGGGTCGACGCTGGAACGTGCTGGCCCGGCCGAGGTCCTGCTCCGCGCCGGGGCGATCCTCACTGGCGCGCAGGCCAACGATTGAGGGGACCCCTGCGTGCCCGCACCAGAGGTAACTCCGGTGGAAGGTCACCCTTACGCGTAGCTTAGTCGAGAGCAGGATGAGCGAGACACCCGGGGCCGTGGGTGCTGCCATCTTGGCTGCCAGAAACTGGGCCAGGAATGGCCGTGCCAGGGGCGGTGCTTCTCCACCATGCGCTGCCCCGCTCGCCCGACGTCTGCGACGTCATACCACCAGGAGCTCGTCGTGCTGCGAATGCACTCCCGAGAAATACGTTTGGAGTCGGGCCTGGCTCACAAGAAGGATACCTGAATCCTGAAGTGTCTGGCGCGTGCTGCGAATTTGCAGTCGTACCTGAGATCAGCTCCTGGCTGCAACCCTTGTCTCTGTTCAGGATGGCCGTTGCCATTGGCAGCCATCTGTGCGCCCGAGCTGGCAGAGGCGCTCGCAGTGCCTGGAAGGATGGGAAGCTGGCTCCAATGCACTCGAGCAGCCTTCTAATCCCTGGGGGATGAGGAGGGAGATGAAGGAGGAGGAGGAGGCGGAGGAGGAGAGGGAGGAGGAGGAAGAGGAGGATGAGGAGGAAAGAGGAAAGAGGAGGGAGGATGATGAGGAGGAGGGAGGGAGGAGGGGGGGGGAGGAGGGAGGAAAAGGGGGGGAGAAGGATCTATCCCCAAACGGCCGCCTGCGACTGCAGTGGAGCTGTGTGAAAGACAACGTGCGCCAATGCGCCCACGGTCCTTTTACCACCCTGCCAGCGCTGCGGGGGAAGCTGACGTCCTTCGTCACACGGCAATCTGCGCCCTCTCTCTTGCTCCGTGCTGGAGGTGCCAGGAGGCCTCCGTAGGCCCCAAGAGGGACACCCCAACGACCCGAACCCTCGATCCCTGAACCTCGATCCTCCCCCTCCTCCTCCTCCTCCTCCTCCTCCTCCTCGTTCTTGTCCTCCGCCTCCTCTGGCCTCCTGCAGGAAGCTGGTGGCAAGCGAGTCGCCCCGGCGCTGCGATCCTCCTCCTGCTGCTGCTGCTCTTCCCGAAGGGCCCGCCGTCCGGCCCCGTCAGAGACGCAGCCAGGAGCCAACTCCATACTACGAGGGCCAGGAGCAAGGGGGGAGTCCACGCCTCACCATTCGAACTTGACTCAGTTCCACGGATCGAGAAATAGAGAGAGAGAGAGAGAGAGAGCGAGGGAGACAGAAAGAGAGAGAGAGAGAGAGACAGGAAGAGACAAATACGCACAATTGTAAAGAAAGGGGAGGATATACATATACACACATATGTATATGTGTAAAGAGAGAGTAGTAGGAAGAGGATGGGTTTGAGGGAAAGGGGATGAGGATAGGAGATGGAGGGAGAGAGAAAGAGAGAGAGAGAAAAGACAGAGGAAGAGAGAGAGAGAGGAGACAGAGGGAGAGACACGGGATGATGAGAATGCTGATGACGATGCTGATGATGCTGCTGCTGCTGATGATGGTGCTGATGCTCATGCTGATGCTGATGCTGCTGATGATGATGCTGTTGCTGCCGATGGCGATTATCATTATGCATGTGATGCTGATGATTATGATTATTATGCTGATGATGAGGATTATGATGATGCTGACGATGATGATGACGAGGAGGAGGAGATCTTCATCACCAGCGTAACGCCCGCGCCCCGCGCCTGGCGCCCAACCCGCCTCGCCCGCCAGCCGCGCGCGTCGGAGCCGAGGAGCACGAGCGAGGCGGCTGCCGCGCGCGGGCCGTGGGCGGGCCCCCCCGCGGGCGAGGCGGTGCCCTCCCGCAGGCGGCGTCGGCGCGGGCACTCGTGGGAGGAGGGGGAGGAGGAGGAGGAGGAGGAGGAGGAGGAGGAGGAGGAGGAGGAGGAGAAGGAGGAGGAGAGGAGGAGGAGGAGGAGGAGGAGGAGGAGGAGGAGAGGAGGAGGAGGAGGAGGACGAGGAGGAGGAGGGAGGAGGAGGAGGAGGAGGAGGAGGAGGAGGTGAAGGCGGACGCGGTGGAGGAGGAGGAGCAGTAGACGGAGGAGGAGGAAGAGGAGGAGGAGGAGGCGGAGCAGGACGAGGAGGAGGAGGAGGAGGAGGGGGAGGAGTAGGAGGAGGACGAAGAGGAGGAGGAGGCGGAGGAGGAGGAGGAGGAGGCGGATGATGATGATGAGGATGCTGCTGATGATGATGATGATGATGATGATGACGATGATGATGGTATGACGATGACGATGACGACGATGACGACGATGACGACGATGATGATGATGATGATGATGATGATGATGATGATGATGATGATGAGGAGGAGGAGGAGGAGGAGGCGAGCACTCCGTCGGTGGCAACTCGTGGGAGTCTCCCATACTATCGAACATAAGCCATAATAATATCCTTCAGGAACATGGGGCTCTCCGTCGGCCAAAACAGGGCATCCAAGGGTACCCTCCCAGGGTGCACAATTACAGCCAGCAAGCGCGAAAAACACCAGGGTACCCTTCCCGAGCCGACCTCGATCTTACACCTCGGTCCGACTGGTACCACCTTTCGGCGGCGAGCGAGGGGGGGAAGCGAGAAGGGGCTGGCCTTCTTAGAAGGCTCGGGAGTCCCCTGGCCTTCCGAGGAGTTTTCTGCTCATTCCCCGGAGGCAAGACAAACTTCTCAGAAGGTGCGAGGGCTTCTGAGAAGTTCAGCCGCCTTCTGAGACGGCATTCTCCTTCTCATTTCCCCCTCTCGCTCGCCGCCGAATCTCGTTGGCTCTTGCGAATCGACGCTAGTCGACGCTAATGGGCACTGAATTGACGCTGAATCGGCGCGATCTCATCGTCTACCACAAGCGTTCATCGACGTTCGCGAACTCGAGAGACAGAATCGCGAGGGCATCTGAGGCTGCCATGGCTTGCTACCGGACCCCCCCGCCGAACCCCGGATCACGGCAGCAGGCCCCAGGCGGCGGCCGAGGCCGAGGCCGCGGCGGCGGCCCAGAGCGCCGCGCGCGCCCGCCGCCCACCCCGCGCCGCGGAGGACGCCAGGAAGGACACGCCGTAGGCGTCGTCGAAGTCGAAGGCCCTGGAGATCCTGGAGCTCCCGATCTTGTGCATGGTGCCCGCGAACGAGTACACGCCCCCGAGGCCGCGGTCCGCGACGTAGACGGTGCCGTCGCCGTCCCAGGAGCAGCCGCGCGGCCTCGACAGCACCGAGGTGACCAGCGCGGAGGGGCCGCCGGACTTCTTCACGCCGTACACCCTGTTGTTGGCGTCTGTGTAGAACACGTTGCCCAACGCCAGGCACACACCGTAACACTTCGGGGCATTCTGCGCCAACACGTTCACCGACGAGACGCTCCCAGTCTCGATCGGCGCCTCTGAGCCCTTGACGAGCGAGCCCGTCTGCATGCCGAAATGCTTGTTGGTCCAGTAGACGTGGAAGTTGTCCACCGCCACGCCGCCGGGGCCGTTGACCTGCGGGAGCATGTCGCCGCCGTAGAGGACCTCTGGCGAGGGAGGGGCGCCGGCCAGGAATGCCGGGGTGGCAGTGGCCGCGGAGGGCACCTTGTAGATCACGTTGTGCGACTCGTCCGAGAAGAACACGTTCCCGCCGCCGTCCACCGCCACGCTGCGGGACTCGATGGCGGCAGCAACGACCATCTGCCTGTCGTCCACGGCCAGCGACTCGCCGTCCACGCGCAGCTGGTAGGCATATATCTTCTGCGCGTCGGGGTCTGCGAC